TCGAGGTTCCACTGTATATATGTTCATCAGTTATATTTATTTGTATATATTTTAGAACTTTTTCAAATCGATTCAGAACGAAAATCAGAGAAAATAAATTTTCTGATTATTTTTATAGTCATAAATATTATAAAAAAAAAATCATTTTTTCAAGGTTTAGAAAATAATTGACCAAATTATTTTACGAATAATTATTTTTTTCTATAATATCGATAGTCATTTATCAGATAATTATATATATTTGAGGACCCTCAACTTCAAAACTTTTATCTTCAAATTCATACAAATGAAAACAATATAACTAGGTTTTATGATATAATATCGTTTTTAATCAGTGAAACATGTCTTAACCTTAATATGGTATTAATTTTCTTAATAACATACGAACATTTGCATTATGTATGCATATATATATATATATATTTCTATATGAGCTCGGTGTTGGAAAAAAAAATTAAGAAAAAAAAAACGTTTCAATAGATAGAAAGGAGATAGTTAAGGTTCGGTGCGTAAAAAATACACCACAGTGTTTACCGCTATGTACCGGTGTCTACCGTTCGGGTCGATCAAATGTGTTTTGTCACCGGATCGGAACACACAGAAATTAAGTGTATCGGTTGACGCCCTGTTGAACACGGCCCTGTGGAAAACAACTGTATACCGCTACTGAGAAACGTTAACCCTTTTCCTGGCGTTGACAACGAAAACTTTCCCTTGACTTGTAAATAATATATAGTTTCATGCTATCACCAATCTTGATTCTTCTTTTTTTTTTTACCTTCTCCATGGTCTAGGTCTTACTAGGTTAGGTCTTACTACGCGTCATACTTTCGTTCACGAAAATCAATACTGACGCGGTTATTAATTATCATTATTCCATCATCGTCAATATTGTTGTTTTTTCCTAGCACATAACATTATAGAAATCCAATGTTTATAACTCTATTATTGTTCCGATTTCTCTGAATTGGAATTTTCACGGAATTTCTTAAACTAATTCTAAAATATGCAATGACGACGGTTTTGTACGATATTCAACATTCGTTCTAATTCGTAAAGGTAATAGGTATCATTTTTAAAAAAGTGAAATTTCGTGAGATAATTACTCATAAGTGTAAATATACATTTTGACTATTGGTTGAATGATACTTTAAGGAGAAAATGGTGCATAGGTGCATTAATTAATTATTCTAATCCCAATGGCTACTGTTAAAGGAAAGAGATTACTTTTTAAATAATTAAGTCAGTAAAATTAACTTAAGCTCATGTTTAACCCTAATCTGACCTAACCAACAACATGTTTGCAAACTGATATATAAAAATTAACTAAAAACTGCAGGTATAAAAATTGCATTAATTTACAATTTTACATTTTATTTTTTTTAAATTAAATTTTCATCAAAAAGCAATTTTACTGTGTACAGAAATTTGTATTTTTTTGTACTCATATTTCAATGTAAAATAACTTAATATGATAATAATAAAATTATTAGTATTGTATTACATGCAAAATAAATTTCTTTATTAATGGTCCTCGTTAAAAAGTTCAAAAAAATATGCCCACATGGTTAAGATGGTTGCTGATCCATGCATTAAAATATAAAAATAAATAAATTACATATTTGTATTTCTAATAAAATACATTTTAAATATAACGAATTTAACTTAAATAAAATTAAAAATGATTATAATTATAATCGAATAAGTATTATCTATTCATATTATAATAAAATATCAGTATATTTCAATATATTGAGATTAGAGAATAGTTTGAAATCTTCATTTTCCTAAAAGTATGTATCTCTAATCTACCACAACATAAGATGAACGTTATCTTTATTACTTCGAATCGAAGTTACGAAAAAAAATGAAATCACTATTCATTTCAACTGCTTTAGTTCATTGGCGAAGAATATTCGAGAAGCGCACGCGCTCGAAGTCTCTTCTCACCGAGCTACATTCCATTGAAGTGAACAAGCCTGTCCAGGATTTGGTTTCATTGCGTCTATAGGGGCATAGTTTTGTAAACATGTTTTGTATTCTCGTCAGCTGTGTACAATATGTCATTGATGAATATTACACATTCTATTAAATCATGAATAATAATAAAATAATAATATTATGAATAATATTAGATAATAAACAAACCAGTTAGATGTTAGAATGTACATACTACAATCAGTGATTTTAAAATACTGTATACTTGTATTTCAATATAAATACTATATTGGGCAACCCTTTTCCATTACGTCCATACAGGCACCTAACCAGACATATTTCTATAAGGGGGCCAATATTTTTTGGCCCGTTTCTGTAGTTGTGTTTATTAAATGTGCGAACGATATCCGTATTTGAAATTCCTAGTTTTCAATCTATATTAATACACGTACTATTGTCTTATCTCAAGTTGTTAAGTGATAAATATTTATAAAATAGAATCTCGGAATTTAATTTTTGTTATACGATCGTTAATTTTATGGAATGGGCGCATATAAATTCCGCCACATGTACTTTTTTTTACTGTAAAATCCGCCAAAAAAATAAAACAGGTAAAATTGAGTTTACCGTCATAAAAAAATCAGGTAAAATTGAATAAATGTAAACTCCGCCAGTGAAGAAAATCGAGTAGTAAAAATTAATATGATATATTATTAAAAGTAATACGTAATAAGTAATACGTGAATATTATTATTATAATATTATATAATATCAAACCTCCATTTTATTTCACCAGAAGCATATTTTATATTTTGGTTATATTTGTAGTTGTTAAATAAAACCAATAAATTGTCTCGTTGACCAGTAATTAATTTTATATTATTACTTTGTTGCGACATATTTCGTTCAATATAAAATATACACGGAGACACGCAGACTACGAATAATTATGTTCGTCAAAGTATACTTTACGTATATCTTACCTACTGCCGATATCATTATTGGAAATACTAATTTCAGATAATATGAAGATTTTTTTTTTTATTTGTTAAAAGAATAATTACAATCTATATCAATTTGAACATTAAGTAATTTTTATAATACATGTTTTACAATAACAAGAATTAACATAATGGGAGGGCACTCAGTAGTGCCACCCGACAGATTATTTTAATAGATCTCTAGGCCAGGTCCGATTTAATCTTCTTAGAGGGTTGACAGGATTTTCGCAAGAGGAAAGACGATTGATTAGCGGGTTTGTATGTTGAGCTAGTTTAGAATGGAAAAATAATATGAAGATAAAATTATTGATAAATGAATCAATGTGGATATATATCCACCTTGAAATAAATCGAACCATGACAATAATTTTATCAATTTTGACATACATCATTGCAATAGATGTCAACGTATTTAATGTGAGTAGGCAAGTGGCAACGTGAGCACTGAGCAGGTAAACAAACAAAAAACTAGAGGAGTTTACATATACCCATTACCATAGACGTAACTTGGAAATTTATTAGGGGGGCAAAAATATAATTACATATCTAACAAAAAGGGTGTCCGAGGCTAAATGCCGCTTTACTACCTACATATTATTATATAAAATTATTCATTTTCTAACATTATGTTAGATAAACGAAAATTTAAGATTTAAAAAAAAAATATGTTATAGTAATAGCTATAACCAGCTGTTTTGTACTTATTTTAAAACAAGGTATGTTAAATACCAGAGAGGGCACTGCCCCTCCTAATTTTTTCTAGGGGGGGGGTTGCCCCCTCTTGCCCCCCCCCAGTTTACGCCTATGCCCATTACAGGTATGAAAAAAAAACTGGCGGATTTTACACTAGACCTTTTACCTTTTTATCTTAACCGATATTCTAGAAGAGTTTACAATCGCCCATATTGAATATACATTCAGGATTTAGCCGGTTTGGGACAACTAAACACCAGAATATTTAAAAATTAAAATCAAGGGGGCCAGCTCGGGGCCACTGATTATTCTTAGGGGGCCAGGCTCTAAGGCCCTCCCCTTGACGACGTGTCTACGTCTATAGACTATAATAATAAACCATTAATCATATATTTTTAAGTACCATTTCATAAGTAACATCCTAGTTGGATTCAATAGTTGAAAAAATTTAAAATTTTATTTTCACATACACAAACTAAGGTAATTCTAATTTTTCAACAAAAAGAGTATAATAATAAAAATATTTTCGTTGAATTCTGAGAAAAACCAATCAACCTAATAAGTGGTCAGTTCAAAAAGTACCGGCACAAATATTATTACGGCTAATCTAGGCATGAAAACGCTTAAAGTTATAAATTATATTATATTATATATTATATAAAATGATATATTCCCCACATATTAGTGAATATTTTAAATAAAATCCAAAGTCGCAATCTTAATTCAGTTTAAATTAACATATTGTTAAATCGAGTTTGTTTCGTTTGGCATTTTCGACATGCTCGAAATTAACAAACAACGTGTGTGCATGCATCAAGTTTTGTTTGAAACTCGGTAAAAATGCCTCACAAACGTATGTAATAATTAAAACAACTTTTTGTATTTATTAAAAATAAAATCCCGGTACTTTTTGAACAGATCTAGAACATATTACACTTTTTTTTCTTTGATAATTATAGTAGATAGTACGTGTTGAATTATGCATGTATAAATTCTTAATTACCTATATGAATATGAGCATTTTTTAGTCCTTTGTTTGCCTTAAATATAATGTAATTCAAATAATTGCTCGTAGAATTTCAATGAAACAAAAACAGCTAATAAACGAAATATATTTGAAGCCACATACAACCATAACGTATCGTTATATACTAAATATATTATTATATCAAAAATATAAATACATATTCAAAATACATTTTTCTCATTTGATTCTAAAAGAAACTTATGAATAGAATGTTTGAATTTATGTAAATTTTTAAACTTTCATACGAAAATATCGAAATTTATACACACTAAAATAATTGTTTAACATATTAATCATAATTTATGCTTATATAGTGTCTTACTATAAAAATCATTATTTACCTTTCGTGTTCTAAAAGTTTTTTCGTCAGTGATTCTTTTTTTTTATCTCTCCTCAGCGTCATATTTTTTTCAAGATTGTCCCGTTCTTGTTGCAATTTTAAAGTGAGAACTTTTTGTTCATCCGGCCTTTTTCTTTTCGTTTGAAGTTCCTTTTCAAATTGAATGGTTAGCCTTTCCAATTCTCTTTCCCATTCGTTCTACACAGTACAATATCAATATGTTAAAAACTAGTTTAATTTTAAATTTGTCTATTTTTATTTATTTTAACAAATACTTTTTAATTAGAAATTATATTGTAAACAGTCTTATAATAATAATTATTCTCACATTTATTTCTTCTTTGATACGATTGTCTTCAGCTTCCCGTTGCTTAGCAAACTTTCTGTACAAATCATCTTCTTCTTTACGATGTTTCATTTCTAATCGAGTCTGTTCATCTTTATCCTATTACATATAAGACAAAATCATTTAACATTCAAAATAAAATCATTAAAAAATTGTCATGTGTATAAGATTTGATTAACGAATATAGTGATGATTTACCTAAAATTGTATTTTCTTTTAAATATTACTAGTTCTAATACATAAATGTATATTAAGCTTTAAATAATATAAATTAATTTAATGATCTGTTTGGCTTTATTGCAAACAATTTCAAAATTTCGATAACGAAAATCAAAATTTCACATGTTCACTGTTTATATTAAATGCATATTTAAATATTATACATATATACGATAAGTTAATAATTTTTTAATTTCATAAACACTTTTAAATTATTTTTTCTATAATTCGTCTAAAATGTATCAGTTATACATTTTCGTATGAGTAAAAATACATCAAAGTATCATTTAAATTTACATTTAGTTTACTGAAGTTTCTTAAACTAGGAATATGTCTAGAGTTAAATGCGTGTTAAGTTTATTGAAATGTCCACTGGAAAAATAAAATATAAGAATTTTTAAATATTGAAACTGTTAATACAATTTTTTGAAAAAAAAAATATATAAGTAATTATCTTACTTCATTTGATTATTTTTAAGTGAACCGAAACTATCAAAAAATATAAAGTATGCATCATAATGTTATGCGAATTCAGATTTCAAAAGTATTCAGGAAAAATGTAATGAAGATAAAAACAACAAAAACCCTTATATCTATATAATAAATTAAGCATACCTACAGAGGCTTGGATACTAATATGTACATTTAAAACGTGGTTAGGGGGTTGAGGAATGTGTTTAGTGAGAAAATGTTCTGCGGGTGCGCCTGATATAAACTACTTACATGCTTGAGTACCTACGCTGCTCATGTACATGATTTGAAAATAATAATATACGTTATAGGTGTGTGGCCGGCTGACCTTAATATCACAGAACCTTGGTATTGATATTGTACATTGTGTATACATTACACATGCCTATATATTTCGTCCCGATTTTCCACACCTATAAATCACCCGACTCTTCAGTATTCACTCGGTGTGCCACATAATACTATTGCTATAAAATATATTATTACTGCGGTCGTATCTACATAGCAGTATGGCATACAAACATACAGTTATTAATTGAACGATTGGTCATTGACGCCACTCAAAAATAATTATTCATAAGGTAATATAGATCTTAAAAAACGCCTGGCTAATAAATACATTAGGTACACATTAACTGAATTTAAATATCGACTAATAGTTCAAACTAAAACTGAATATAAATATGTGTCATTCTTATATAAATATGTATATATAAATTCAACGGATGACAATTATCAGCATATTTTATGAATCATTATATTAAATTATTTATGGATGATATTTATATTTAATACTTGTTCTGTAACGCAAAGAAAATACTTGAATGACACATAAAGTATTAAGGTATTTATAAAAATTACTTATGAACTTTTTTTATATAACTAGATACATAACTGTAATACCAGACCATTATTTAGCCGTCACTCATTAATACTTATTTAAATGCATTTAAATGGATTATCCGTTATATAGACGGTATAAACTTAAAAAATAATAAATATTACCATTGTATTCCTACATTATTCTTTCGAGTATGATATATAAATATTTACATATAAATGTAGAATACATACAACTTAAATATATTGGAGCTCAAAACTCATTGAAACAAATTCCAACAAGAATAGACGGAGAAAATTGGTGAATTAGTCGAATGGTTACGCTGCAAGGAGAGAAATTGCCCTGCGGAGCAATTGTTCAAAAAGTAAAAAATGAAAAAAATACCATTACTTCATAGGGAGGGAATATAAAATTTGTAGACGTACATCAGAAAACTAAACCGGTTTATGGTGCGGTTTAACGAAGAAAGTAAAATACATTTAAATAGGTACAGACATATACATATATATATGTCCGTACACAGGGAAGTGATGATTGAACCATGACGTCATGGATACACAATATGTTTCGGGGTTAGTTCGGCAACATCGCAGTATGTATGAGTATTAACTGAGTAGTGAGTGAGTCACTGTTTAGTCTTAATTGAACAAAATGGAGAACTATGTTATCCGCTGTTCAATATTTAATTTAATTACTATTTTATGCAAATCGATAGTGAAACAACACCGTGAACAATCAGTGTTTGAAAGTTTAGAATTGAGTATTGAGTAAATAACTTAAATTCCATTGTAAAACGTGTGACGTACTTCACTGATATATATATCAATGAATAATCAATAAAACAATAGTCTGTAACTCTATACTCGTATGATATGATTTATAATTATAGAAAAATTATATGGGATTATATGGCATATTTTTTATTATCCATTATATGACATGCATACAATGTTATATTGAATTAGAAAAATTCAAAAACTGTAAAATACATACACACGTAGGAAATCATTAAGTTTATAATAATAATATATTTAGATACCTATTATTTTTATTAATTATGATAATTTTTTTTTTTGCGACATATGTTATTTTATCCTAAAGTTTTAGATTTAAATAGTTAAATAGATACCGATTAACGGAAAATTTTGATTATCCCTGAATACACACACATACTCATAAAAAGTCGTACAATTGACACATGTTCAAATTATACTTTTCATAATCAATTTGATGTACCTAAACTATTATTTTTAGTATTCCATAAGAATTAAACCAATTTTGTTATACATCGCCTAAATTTAAAGATTTAAGATTACATCAATTAAAGACTGCAATAACTCAAAAAAAACTATTATTGAGATATCGACGCCTCAGTTCAAGGACAGCAATAACTCAAAAATATTCAGAATTGAGTTATCTACGTGATATTATTTGCAAAATTACAACGATTTTGATTCTATAACGCAATAATTTTTAATTGCATTATTCACCTCTAGAGGTCGTTTATTTCATTCTAGAACCAGTAGTTTATTAATTTGAGTTATTGCAGTCTTGAACTGAGGCGCCGATATAAAACATTTAAAGATTATTTAAAGGTTTAATTATTTATATTTTTTTACCGAAGTCATTATAGCTTCAATATTTAGTAAACTATATTTTACCATATGCTGCATCAATAATTATCATACTATTCATAATAGGTGCCCATACACGAGCGGATTTTATAACGGATTTGGTCTCTGACGGATTAAATCCTCTAAAAAGTCCTATCGTGTGTGGTGTTCTAAGGATTCAATCCGGCAGATTTAAAATCCAACGGATTTAGTCCAACGGTTCAAGTCTCTCGCTTTGCCACAGACTAAAAGACCAGGTCCGGCGGACCACGGACCTTGATAAGAAATTTTTGTTTTATTGATAACTGTTGTAGTCCGTCGCATAAATCCGCAGATCTTTCAGAACGTCTTGAAAGACCAAAGGACTAGGTCCTCAACATAAAAATCAACGGATTTCCTCCACTAACCAGCGGACATGGTCCGCTGGTGGATTCGCTCCGCGAAAAATAGCGGACTTTTATTTTCACGTTAGTGGACACGTTAAAGGACCTAGTCCGACGGACCAAATCTTTCAAGGACCTAAGGATTTAGTCCGTCAGACCAAATCCGTTGTAAAATCCGCTCGTGTATGGGCACCTAATATCTACTTATTTATAGGTACATACTCGTAATCAATATTTTTTCCTTTTATAGATACAAAAAAAAAATATCTTATGTTCTTCAAAAAAATATTTGATATAAAAATTGTATGGTACAATAAATATGAAAATCTAAATGCAAAGTAAAATATGATTGTTTCAAAGAGTTAGTTATACGAGTTTATATAATGGTTTTAATATGTACAGTCGACACTCGATGATTCGAAGTTGGTGGGACTTATGAAAAGTTTCGAATTGCTGAATGGTTCGAAATATTGAGAGGGCAAAAAAAAATTCGAACTATTGAATGTAATAAAATTAACGTTTATTTATTTATTAAAATTTTTAAATTATTTACATTTTACATACCAACTAAATTTAATAATATAATTAAGTAAATGTTTTTAAAATCAAAATTATTATTTTTTAATAAAAATATTGATTTCTGCTTCATTAAACTTAGTTTAATTTTTTCAATACTATTTTCTAAGATAAACAAAGCTTCGAAAACCTCAACACCTACTTCTGACTCGACCGAAAAGTTAAGTAATTTTTCTAATAATTAACTGGCTTCCTTTAAAGTTACAAGATATAAATCATCTTGGTCGTTTTTAACGTCTTCATCGATGTTTAATGTATGGTCCAAAATCTCTGCTTCAGGTAAAATTCCCCATACAACATCTTCATTCACATTGACATAATCAGAGAAATTTAAATTTTTTTGACCTGGCAGAAAATTCCATTGTATTGGTTCAACACATATCTGTTTCTTGAATTTCTACTGTAAATATTGATTTTTTTAGCAATTTTTTTTTAGCATTTTCTTGGCAAGTTTAACGATTCTTAATTATGCCTTGGTCGAGTGATAGCAACTTCGATATGGTGTTTGGAGGAAAAAAATTGAAGTTTTATATTAGATCAAGGCAAGGGACTGTTGTGAACTGAACGGTTGTCAAAAAACAGTAGAATTTTGCGTTTCTGTTTTCTCATATCCGCATTGAAACCCACCATTTATTAAATAACATTGTGGTTATCCATGCCTTTTTTTTTAACCGTAAGTTACAGGAAAATAACTTATACCCTTAAAACATCTAGATTGATATTTATCGGAAGTAAATAGATTGTACAATTTTATATAAAATTGTATACTAAATTATTAACGATAAGATTACAATAAATTTGGTGAATACCCTTTGATTTGCCGAGTGCTGAACGGATAAAATTTCGAATTAATCGGTAACATATATATCGACTGTATATATATCAGAATTTATAAAGGTGCAATTAGCATAAGAAATTTAACACTTAAAATGTTTTTATATAACAATACATGCGCAAGTATCAAGGGCGTACCCAAGGGGGGTTTTCCGGGCCCGGGCTCCCATTGAAATTTCTACATACTCAACGGTTTAATAGTAAATAGTATAATAATAGTATATAGTGTATTTTAATTTCCCATTACGTTCAATATATAAGGTTTATAGATTATATAATATACCTATAATGTATAAACCATACTCGTAATTATTAACAGTAATTTGTTGGTATTAAGTTAAACTATAATTATCATTACATTACAGAACAGATCAAATAAAAATGTTGGACCTCCCCATGATAAATTCCTGGGTACGATCCTGGCAGGTATATTAAAATAAACTTTATTGCATTTTCTTGGTATATATAGAAATGTATGCACATAATTATTTAATTAAAATAAAATATAAAGAACAACCCTGCTGCAATCACTGTGATGAACCTATAAAGCAAATATATATAAAGCACATACTACTAAATCGCTTATAATTCTTCTCCACAAAAACTATTCTCAAACACCCATTAATTATAGAAGAAGCATTTGGGGAACACAATACCTACTCCATTCATTAATTTTTTAGAACTACCGATATCGATACTAAAATTTAAAATAAGTTGAATTAAGATAATATGTAAAAAACAAAAAAACAAATGTAATCACCTTAATTAAGTTAAGCAACTAACTAACTAACTAACTAACTAACTAAGTAATATAAATAAACATGAATGTAGGCTAATGTTCTTTCTGTTACAGCCTTTACATCTAACAAAACAAATAAAACTATTTAATTAACATATATGTATGCGTATACATAAATTATCCATAAACATGGAGCAGCAGAGGAGGTTGTACCACTACACAGGAAATGTTCAAGTTCCTCAAGGACACAACAAATCTAATTTGTTCAATGGCAATATTACTTGTGTACAAAATAATCATCTAAACATGATTAAACGTTATATTGATTTGTATGTATTAACTAGCATATATACTATAATGTGTACAGCAAAATTACTAATTACAGTTAAATGTGAAGCATTATAATTTTTAATACGATAATAGTCTTTTAACATACGTCCTTGTAGTATTGTATGAGGTCTTTAGTATTTGTAGGCCAAAAAGACCTAACCCATGTGTTCCCGCAGAGGAAACATTTATTTATGGAATTTGTCACACAGCTATACAACGAATTTGTAATGGTTCGACGTTGCTAATACAGTATCGCTTACAGTCGACTGTTTTAGTCTTACACTCGTACTTGAATTTGTTTGACAATCAACAAAAAATATTTTAACTTGCTCAATATGGAAAAATTTATATTCAAATCAACAAATTTGGCTGCTTCTTTTTTGTGTTTTGTATCTTCTTTTTCATATATTATTCGTATTGTAATTCTATTTTAATATTTACCGTAACTAATATACTATAGGATAAATAAAGCGTGAACTAGAAAAATAAATTGCAATTGGCCTGCACATCGGAATCAGAGACAACCACAAAAATCTAAAAGAACATGGTCACTGCAATTCATTTCATCGACTATTAAACCACTAAAATAATATGTGTGTGTGTGTGTGTGTGTGTGTGTGTGTATTTATATATATAAATATATATGTATAATACTTACACACTAATGCACACATTTATAATATAAGTATTCACAATTAGGAATAATAAAACTAGATGCTTTGCCTCGGCTGAATTTTACAAAATAACTGTTGTGATTTTTAAAGGGATATCTACAATTTAGTTTAATTTTATGGTGTAAGACTTGTAGTATTAGGTACTTAATTTTAAATATTAATGTTCATATAGTTTACGGAGTAAGTTGTGTTAAGACGCCCAGTCATTCCCAACCTATTTTACGTAAATTATTTTATTTTCACCGAAGAAACTTCTATTTCCTACTTCCTGGATAGTCTAAAAATTATCTCTACCATTACTTTCTTATTCTGAAATTAGGAAAAAAAATGTAGAACAACAATAATATTTGATATATTCTTAGTTTCCTCTAGATTTAAGTAACTAAGTAAACTAACTAAGTAAAATACAATAACTTACAAAATCTACATATTTTTAAAATTCATACACTTATGAAAATTATTTAGAAAATATGATAATCATAAATAATATAAATAAGATTAATTATTTATTTTTAAACTGTATTATAACGAATATACATAATATTATGTATAATATACATATATAATTTGTAAGACTTACAATTTTGCCGAAATAGAAGAATTTTTTTCTGTTAATATTTACTATATCAAAAACTAAATAAAATAAGAATATTAAATTGAAGTATTTGACAGTAGTATGAGTACTACTATGCTTCTGACAGAAGCAGATTAACTAGGTTTCTTAGAATCTATAATAATGATAGCTTTGAGTGACATACAAATCATTTCGATAATTAGTAGATATTAAATTATATTATTATTTATAGTAGTTCATAAGGTCAACGCTTCGGAGTAGTATACCAATCTTCTACTTATATTTATTATAATATAACTGATTTAAATGCATTTAAATTATGTAAACATGCAATCTATGTTTAAATATGAAATAGGTATGGTATGTGTATATAGAGAGGTTAGATTAAGTATATAAGTACCTCTATATTAATATTCTGAACATTCCAAATCTGTGTAACACGAGATTTGAATGTGTTACGCAAAAAAAAATACCTTTCCCCAATATTTAATTGTTTCAACCACAAATGGTTCAACACATACGATGATGAGTATACGTAAGTATCATAATAATGTAATCGTTGTATTGTTTCGAGTTATGCAAATTACGTACACGTAAAACATTCAAAAAAATCTATATTATCAATTTTCAACATAACAACGTCTGTGAATAAAACAACGTTTTTAAAACGAACCAACTATATTGAATTAAATGTATACGAAATTCATCATTGGTTACCTATTGAGTTATAGAGATCTAAGTATCTCCGTTAACATTAGGAATTTTTCTTAAAATTGGATATCTACTAACTAATTGTTAATAACAAAAATAACATATGTTTAGTTACAACGTAGTTCAATTAAAATAAATAAAACAAGGATAAAATATTTACTCCTATCACACATTTTAAATTGATTGGAATGTTCAAATTTATGTTGTACTATGTATACGGGATTAACAAAGAATAGCGCGAAATGTTTAGTAGCCATAAAGTTAGGATTTGATTATAAGCGCTCACCAGATAACAGTGTATAGGTTTCTCTCGAATGCCGTTCTTGTTGGTATAAGATTTATGTAATTCGGTGGCACGTAGCGCATGGGCTATGTGCAAGGCGGAGGCATCGAACCTGCCATACTGGTAACCAGTATCCGGAGTGGATGATCCGATGTACGGGGTGGACAGTGGAGATTGCGAACGATTTGGTATTAAGCCGTTTAAGTGTTGTTTGATATTGAGTGCTTCGGCGTCGAATGTACCTTTGCCACTGCCACGTATCTGGTCATTTACGAACGTCGTAGACTTGGGCACGTTCAAGGCACTTCGAATACCCACCGATGTCCCGTCCAGGTGACCAGGACCGATTTTCGGGACGTGGCTAGAGCAGTATACCTCTTTATCTTCTTGTCGGTGCTGATTGTTGTAGTATGTTTTCAGTGTCAACTTCGTACCGCAAACAATGCACTTAAAACATCCACTGTGAAAAAACGTGAAGTCCTTCAGCGGACCGACCCGATCCACCTGGTAAACAGTCTGGTAGCAACGCAGGCACGTGCTCTCATAAAAATTTGACCGGTACATTGTGAACGAAGGTTTGACGAAAAATGATACTCCCGTTATATATTTACATTATATTAGTTGTTGGTTTGGTCCGTTTCTGTGAAAAAAGGCCGTCTAATAAATTTCACCTGAAACAACGAAAAACATAATAAATAATCGAGATACCGATAGTTAGATGTGTTGATCAGGTTGACAAGCAAGACAACAATTGAAAAAATATTTGCATGAAAGTCAATTTAAATAGAATCTGTTCTCTATAACATTATTTATACTTGTGATTATTTTCGATTTATGTTAAAAATTAAGTACTATAAAATAAATAATACTATTACTTAATACTATTCGTAATGACTTATATGATCTTCAGTCATCACACTACTGGAATTTATAAGGATTAATGCTTTCGTTGCTTTTTTTAAAATACAATTTAATTTAAAAAATTATTTTAAATAAATATTAATTAAGATTTTTAATTTATTGATAAGTATACATTATAGGTACCTATATACATTATACATACCTAATAAACATGATTTCTAGCATTATAAATTTATATATTTAATATATTTTTTCATTTTTAATAAAATGTAATATTGTGTAATTATTTTATTTACTCTTATGCAGCAATAATGCAATTATAATGGTATAAATCGCCGAAAAATTAAAAATGTGAATGTAATTCACTTATTATAAAGTTTTGGGACCCCTACTACCAGTAACATAACTGGGAAAAAATCTAGGGGGGGGGGCAATATAATATATTTATTATTACCAAAACCCTGACACCCCTCCCCTCACCAGTTAAAACATATTTTTATTGTATGTATTTTATACAGTATATCTAATTGTTTGATTTTACATAAGTCTTTTAACTCATTTTGTGGTTTAGATTAACATAAATTGTAGGTAGCAGGTATTAGGTATTAGGTATCAGGTATTAGGTACCAATATTGTTAAATAATACCTATAAGAGTTCGTTAATAAAAGGTGTTATTTATACTGTTGGATTATCTGGGGGGTGGCAAAATTATACCTTTATCTCTCAAAAAATTGTCAGGGGGCACTTGCCCCCCACAATTACGCCACTGCCTACTACATAATATCTAATTAAAATAATTCTATAAAAAATGAATTAAAACAGCAATTAGTTATATTTACAACATAATTTATAATAAAGGAGTAAAAAATATCCATCATTATAAATAGTAGTTTTATATTCAATTGAAAAAGTAAATAATATTATATATTTAATGATAAACATTTTCAAATGTTCACTTAAAAATCAAGAACTAAAACAATTAATTTTTTTCGGTTATTTGATTTTAATATTGAATAATTGTATAATTTAATACAATAAGTATTTACTCGTATACTATCAAAAATAAATTTAAAAAAATACTACTCGTATATACGAGTAGACACAGCATACGCGTATACTAAAAAATTTTCGAATATTTTTTGAAATAGAAAATTAGATATCAGCCGAGTAAATTAAAAAAATATATTTAAGGATAAAAATGGATCTCAGTATTTTGCGGTAAAATATGTAGTTTGTTATACGATGCTTATAAATGTATGTCGAATATATATAATAAATATTTTTGCGGTCCATAAAACTTTCCCATAGGTTAATATAATAATAATATAAGTATAATATATGTATAGTTGAATATTCATTGTCAAAAGTATCAAGTTAAAATAATGTTTGAAATAAATATAAAAATAACGTTTATTTATGTTGTATATAAAGTATTTGTACTTACACAGTTACACATTAGGAAATTAACAGTATGAATTATTGTATTACCATTATTTTCATTTATTTATTAAGGATGTTTCAATAATATTAATATAAATTTATTATTTAGCACCATATAACTATGAATGTTATTAAGATTTAACATATTTTAAGACTTCAATAATCCATTTTACATCATTTTTTTATATATTTTAAAGTTATTTTGATATTTTACAAAATAAAAAGTTTATTGCGTGTGTTTTATGTATGTTATAGTTATAAAAATGTTGGCTGCATCCGAATTGCATGCCAAAAAAAAAAAAAATTCCAAATTGCGTGCCATTTCTTAGAGAGGTAAGCCGTGTACCCGCAAGTTTATTTATCATGCACTCACGTGCACAACTTAACTTTATTTTGACTAAAAATCATTATGATGTGGTTGTTACAATTGAATAATTTCTAGATCAAAATATTTTTTATTATATATAATATAAATATTTTTCCGAGTAAACATTTCACCAAACTTTACTTTGTGGTCTGTTTTATAGACATACGTATCGGTCACTTAAATGTTTGTAGCTCAACTGTATTGTCTTCGTCTTTCACACGTGCAATATACAATATAATAAAAACTACCCACCTTTCTTCCATTATTATGGCAGATAAATTGGGACGATTTTTAAATATTTTTATAATATTGAAATTCAATTGATGAAAGTTGAAGATATAAATCTAAAATAATGGTCCGATCGATCTCAAATAAACATGTTGAGTCATTCATGCCAAGTTCGAATGTGTTTTCAGAATCCTTATCGCTTCAATACATCAGCGAAATGATGTGTTAAGTGTAGACAGTTTTTACTAAGTTTAATTTTTAGAAATTTTATCCAGTGAGTAAGATATAGCGTCAACAAATCTGTGAACCCGTTTAACAGTAGAATGAAAAGTGCAAAATCCAAATTGAGAATTAGGAAGAATAGATTTTTCAGTAACACATCGAAGGATACGTTTTAGTAAAAGTTTCTCCAGAATTTTAGCAAAAAACAGAAGTAAATTTATAGGTCGAAAAAAGGTTATTGAATCAGGTAGCTTATTAGGTTTGGGCACTAGGATGATGGTAGAAAATGTTCACAACATGAGAGAGTATGATAGTCTTATACTGGAATTAATAATATGAGAAAGATGAATAAAGGATTTTTTAGGTAAACGCCTACTTTGACAGTTATCAGGTCAAATCCGGGACATTTCTTGAGAGAGTATTTACTTATGGTAAATTTGATATAATTTGGTGTGAAATGTTTGATAGGATTAGATGGCAAGTGAGATGAGGAGTTAAGATAACGTTCCACAACACTAGTATTGGTTTGTGAGTAAATTTCAGGGTGAGGTTGAAATATACCAGATAGATGTGCATTAAAAAATTCAGCTTTATCAGAGTCAGAGATGACATAACTTCCATTCGGATTTTTAATTGATAGTTTAAAAGTTTTAAATTAACAAATATTTTTAATCCATCTCCAAAGATCTTTTGGTGAGGGTTTGGTTAGAAAATAAGTGAAGGTCTCAGATTTATGTTTTGCCAGCACTTTTTTAAGATGATTAGTTAATTTATTATATTTGTGCTTATGAGAAGGAAGATGAGTCCATTGAAAGTTAGCTCTAGCTCTACGTCTTTCTACAAATATATGACGAATATATTCTGGAAGAAGTGGGTTTTGAAATGAGTGTTGGGATTTTAAAGTAGAAGACCATGCCGCAGATTGTACAAATTTTGTTAAATGATTTACATTAAAATCGATGTCATCAGTTGATTTCCGTTTTACAATTAAATTTATTTGTTAGCTACAAGATCGTGAAATTTGTTTTTATCGGTAGTGGGTTTGAATAATTTAGAAAATTCAAGGCGTATCAGAGGATAAACCGCGTTGAAGTTCCCTGTACATTGAGCATCCTTTGTAACTAGCAAGATGATCTTTTTTTTGAAGGGTAGCCACAATACATTTTAGTGTGATCATATTCCTGGAAATTTTTGTACTGACTGATCGATTTTGGCTTATATGGCTCTTCAATTTTAACTTTGGTATGTAATAAAGAGGAGAGTTGAAATATTTCAATTGACTTAGGGGTTGGTTATAAATCAACAAAGAAAAGAGGTAATTGTATCTTGGTGATTCTATGGAGAACATTTATTTCGCGTCTGACTTCGAAAAGGTAAACTTCCAGTTCATCCTTAATTAATTCAGTCTAAGTTGTAGAATGAAGATTTCGGATAACAACGTGGATCGGTTCATTTTCCTTAAGTTGATAGGTATGGTATTGACCGTTTTCTTCTTTTAAATACCATCTGGATTAAGGAGTTCAAATTAATTCGTGGTTTTAAATAACTTTTGTTTTTTATTTGTAGTTAAGGTTGACGAAGACAGTGAACAATGGGTTGACGTGGATGAAGAGCTTGATAAGTGTCGTTTGCTTTTTTGCACAGTAAAACCATCGTTTGAGTCATAAGTCAATGTAAATGTTAAATTGCTGTCATTTTTTTTTTTTTTATTCAAATTATTTGAAAGATTAGACTTGGGTAGTTTATTTTGAATATTATTTGTTAGTTGACTTTATTAATAAAGTCGAAACGAATATAGCTATTGAGATCGCTTACAGCGGTCTGTAGATAAGAAGACACCGTATGTAGAGACGCAACATTAATAATATAATTTAATTTAATTCATTAATTAATTATTAAATATACGAATAATTATGAGAACGGAAAGGGACACGTTAACGCGCAATTACGATAGCACGGAGCACATACGTGTGTTCGCAACGACTGTAGGCGCGTGACTGACTTTTTATATTTGATATTTTAAATTCTTTACTTGTACTTGTATCAATTTATAGTTTAATACTCAACATGCTGAAATAATTTTCTATTCTCAGATTAATAGTTTTACGTTTAATTGTTTTAATCCTTTTTAATGCAATTGTATTAAAAATATATAAGTTGATAAAACGATAATACGTGACCATGTACTGTAAATGAATAATTATTATTTAAAAATATTTTATAATATTTATGTTAAATTCAACGATGGTAAGCCATTAATTATAGGGTATCTTTCTATAATGAAATTGTAGGAACTCTATAACCCTAGAAATTCTGTACAGCTTAGATTTTTCATAATTCTACAAAGACCAAAAAAAAAAAAAATTCATTGAAAATGTTAATAATTAATTTGTTATAGACAAACAATAAGCCTTATGAGTTAGCTTTTTAATTTCTCATCTAATTATATTTAAATTTAAATTAACTATTATTATTAATAATTAAGTAAACCTAATTTTTAAAAGATATTTTGCTTATTCGAAAATATTCATAAAATATAATTCCTAAATTAAATTAATTTTTTTTTATTATTAAAAATATAATATTTATTAATCTTAATATAGTGTACAATAAGTAAATGAGATGATTACAATTTTATAAATTATATGAAATATTATGAGGAGGGAGGATATTCAATGACAGAACCCTTAAAATTTAGTGATTTGTATTTAAGGACTTAGTTGGTCCCTGCAGCGATGTCTTTTTAACGACGGACGGATTATTCAATATATTTACATTGCCTTGAATATCAATCAGTGAATTGGAGAATGAACATTACTAAAATATAAAGTAATACAACAAAATATAGTAATTCATTGTTTTCAATTTGATAATAGATTATCCAATTATTATTTCCAATCCTTGAAGATATCAAAATATTTATAAAATATAGTATATTTTCGTTTTCTTACTTTATAGACATTAACTGAAACTATTAAAAATTGGGAAATTAATATGGAAAAAATATTATAAAAAAAGTAACATAATAAAACGTTAATTATAAACATTTTAAGAACTATTGAATGTATTTCTTGCATAAATATTTTAATTAACGAATCTTTTTATAATTATGCAACGTTAAATACATACTATCAATATCTTACAAAAATCTCTACCCAATCTTTCCGCTAGAATTTTCTAGAAAATATTCATATACGTATATATATATATAATATAGCAGGGGTGGATCTTTGGGGGGGGGGGGGGGGATGTGGCGATCGCTCCCATTAGACTTTTTTTTTTACAGATTTATTTAATATTTTTTATATAGGTATAAATAATAATTTTATAAATACTTATAAATTATGTATATGCTTGTATACTTAGGATGTTTCATAATAATAAATAATAATTGTGATCACGGTTCTATATACAACCGAGGTTGTAATCAAGCGACCGAGCTATAACCATTGATTTTATAATATACAGATAAGCTGAGATATAGGAATATTTGGGAACCGTATTTTTACGAAGTCATTAATAGGTTTGCAAATGAAAAAAAAAAGAAATGTTAAATTATTATTGTAATTAATATTTTTGAATAGTGAGTTTTTATAGGTACTTAAATAAAGGTACCTAGTTAATTATTTGTATTAAGCGTTGTACTTATTTTTCAATAAATTGGTTAAATAACGGTCAAGTATTCATTGTACTCTATATATCACTCATAAATATTCCTATTCGCCCCTCCCCCCCCTTAGCCAGTCTTCAGATCCGCCTCAGTAATATAGTAATGCAAATTAAAATTAATTTAAAGTAAACATTCTAAAAAAATATGATTATTAAAATATATTTTATACACTCATTATAAAAAAATACGTATACCAGTATACTACTAAAAATAATTCAAATATAAAAAAATAATTAGAAATGTGAAATTTAAAATTTGAGATGTTGAGAAAAGTAAAATATGTTTTTTATAACGATAATATTTTTTAGGAAACATTTTTTTATTATATTAAATTAATCAAAAGTGTCATTTATTAGAGTCCATTTACGAATTGAGTTTAAGACATTCAATCTTATAAGTTACAATAGATTCACGTGGTTCAAGTTCCGAAATTTGACAAAAAACCAAATGTTAAACTTGCTGGTGAATTTCGTGTTTGATGTGAATATTTAACTTTAAATTATGGATATTTTAATCAGTCATATAAATTAAATAAACTGATGACTTATTTTATATCAATTTAATGTATTATATATATAATTAAAATATATAAGCGCTAAGCCTTTTTGACAGTTGACAAATAATAATAACAGGTTTGAATATTAATTACAATAATTATCAACAAAAAGAATTATTAAGTAATAATTATAAAAATAGTGAAATAAAGGTATTACAAAACAACAAAAGCAAACAGTTTCGATGCAGAATAAATATTATAAATAAATAAAAAACAATATTGATTTATAATACAAGTGGTTAAAAAAGAAAAGTGAAGTCCGTATTGAAATTAGGCATCATACGTCTTAACGGCTCATTAGATAAGTAGTTGGTGGTACACGAAAAGTAGTAAAGAACGTGAGATGCATTGTGGAACTCTAAAATTTGTAAATGAGAGTAAGATCGGGTAATCTACAATACCAGTTAACAATCCTTTTAAGAAGTTTGCACCCATATTACGCCAGCGTTCCACTGATGTAGGTAGCTCAAATTGGTTGGCAACTGGAGTGTAGTCATGTAGTGCACAATTAATGTTCAGAAAGTAGCTGGTGAATCTCAAGAACCTACGCTGCATTTTTTCAATTTGGTAAGCATTGTCGATGGTATGGGGATCCCATACGATGGCATCATACTCGATAATTGGCCGGAATAATGAATAGTATAATAATAGTAATATACCTATATAATACATAATAATAGTTTAAATTAATTAACTTAAAATTCTTTAACAGTCTCATCATAATAACCAAGACTCTTAGAGCCTTACAGCAAACCATCTCAATATGAAAACCCTGGCCAAGATTGCTGGAAAGCTTGAAACCAAGGTCCAGCACAAATTCATTATAGCGAGAAATTATAGAATCATGAAGATGATAAGAGAACATTAGAGAGAAGCGGATCCTATTGAATATCATAAATTTACACTTATGTTTACGCACTTATGCTATTAATTATTTTATTGAATATTTATTAACATATAATCATTTCTATAAATATTTTTTATATACTTACATGAATATTACTAACTTTTTATAAATGTACACTGTAATTTATTGTATTATCAAGTGTTGCAGTGTTGTAAACATTAAAATAGTTTATATATATATATATATATATATATATATATGTCTATGCCTATGCAACAAACGTTTGAATAGTTACCTAAATATCAATATATGATATCTAATTATTATTAAGATATTTATTATTAAGAATTATTTAAAAACCTATTAGTAGACATCAAAAACTTATTTACTTTAAGTTTTTAGCTTATTATAAATTATATTTACAAATAAACAAAAACATATGCATCAATTAAAATCGATAGTTGTTTTTTATAATATTTACTTAATCGCATACCTTATAATATTAAAAATGTTATGTGCTCCAAAGAATAGTGCTTAGAGACTTAAACGAGGGAGCATAAAGTCTTTATATAAAACAATTATCGATTATCAAATCATCAAAATTGTATAATCAAATAACAATAAAATATTTAGAATAAACTTCCTATATTGTGTAATTTACATTAACTTTATGTAACATGTAACTTATAATGTACATAAACTAGGATGATATGTACAATTTTAAAGTAAATACCTTAGTTATTCTGAAGAACTCTTAATTCAAACGAATTTGTATTATCCACTTGTACTAGTACTACACAAATAAAACCACGACTAAATTATATTCCTCGGCCATAATTATTTCGGTGATTACCTAATTTTATTCACAAAGAAATATTAATTGAATACGATCACTAAAAAAAAAACAACCGTGAGTTGACGCACAATTATAAACACATTATTTAAACCGTTGTTATTATTTTCTAACAAAAACGGGCGCGAGACCATTACCACGACTCAATGTACACTCGACACTAACCGTGTTGCCGGAGTCGCGATCGCAAACGACCTTACCAGCGGTTTTCTGGTTATACAGTTTCACCTGTGTGGCTCCTCTCTACAATTCTACCTGTATATGCCATTGTGCGTGCAACCCCCACCGTATATACTAGTCTTAAACTCGTGTTCAGAGAACGCAGTACTCAACTATATGTTGAAAATTATATAAAAATACGCTTCACAATAATTTTGTTTCCCTCCGGCAGTATTTTTTTTAATTATACAAATTTGCAAACATAGTATTATGCATAGTACCTATACAATATGCACTTATATTTCTATAAATGATTTATGAAGATAAAATTTTCTTACATCTAATAAATTTATAAATTTCATTTATTACGCTTTCTTGATTAGATACTTGATAGAAAATAATTTACAAATTATATTTACTAATTATTTTTATGTTTTACATTATTTAATGGCTTTTACAAATAATTTATTCTTAAATTTATTTAATATAATACGATTTCAATGATTTTTGACTGTTATTATTAGCTCAGAAGCTACATAGGAACTAAAAATAATCAAAATATAAAACAATAATATAACTCATTGAACAAAAAATTATTGAATAACGCAGGTATTTATAAGTTCCGATAAATGTAACAATTTTTTCAATATTTTTAGTTTTCGTTTAAAAGAGTTTTTGAGTTTGGTTAAAAAACGGTTAGAAATTTTGTATGTCAAATAGACGAAAATAATTTTAATATATTGTAAAAATAATTAGTTAATTGTTCTAATATAGAATAATTTGTAATGAAATCGCGGTATGGCTATTCTTAAACAACGATATTTTTTAAGTTAAAAATGTTAAATATTTAAATTTTCGGTGTTAAATATAAGATACTTATTAAATTAAAAAAAAAAAATAAATAACTAATTTTAATGAGAAATCAAAAAAATATGTAAAAAAAATATGAATTAAAATTATTTATAATTAATCTAAAAATTCATAATCAACTTTATCTAACTACAAAAAATAATAGTACTATTTCCACAAAATTCTTAAATTTCTTAGTTAAAATGATTCAATTACACATTTATGTATTAGATATACTCATTGACACGTATGTATGTATGTATAATCATATATGTCAATAAAAGATAGAAAATGGTATAGTGACTATATTTTATTATGGGGTGGCACATTTTTGTATAAAAATACCTTGTTACGTTAAAAATCATGATTTTGATACCAGAAATATAATCATATAACTCTGAAAAGATACCATTAATATTCATTATTAATTTTTTTAATTTTTATTTAATTTTTTATTATTATATCATTAATAATTTAATTAAAATTAAATCATATCTTAAGTAAAAACGGATAAATACAACTTTGAACTTGATAAGAGGGTTTGAGTAATTCGACTGTTTAATAAATCAAACGAGATCTAGTTATAAGCAGACCAAACTCATGTTTTTAAAAGTTTAATAAATAATGAGTTATTTATAATAAAATCAAGAAGAATAAAATTACATTAATAAATTATTTGATATTATTGTTGGTATAATTAATTACTATTAATGAATATAGTTACCAGTTTAAGTATGTAAGTTGTACCAGCAAGTGAATATTCTATTATATATAAAAACCTTAGCATGCATTAATTTTTCATGTTTATATTATAATAATATAATTACAAGTTTAAATTAAAAATGTATTGATAATTATTGTTTCCTAGGTTTCTTTTTTTTTTTTTAATTCATTACCTCAGTTTAATTTACAAAATGGGACAACAAAAACAACGGTAATTACACATAGATACATCTTCAAATTACTGATTTTTTCTATTAAATAATTTATATCATATGATACTTATATGCTTAATAATTGTTTTATAGTAGGTATAATAACAATTAATTTAAAAAGTGAGATAAAATAAATTACATCTACTTAAATTATTATGTATAACTAATACTTATATATAATATTATAATAAATTAACAAAACAACTCTTATATTTATATTATTTATGTACAAGTATAATTAATAATTGTGCAAAAATATACCAGCTAAGCATTATGATTTATTGTTAGGTATTAAATACAAAAATGATAGTTAATTTAACTAATTTGATACGAATGATTTATGTATGAATAATTGGAATCCATGATACTATTTTTATGGTCCAAAATAATGAATCTACGTATATTTTAGACGTAAACATTTTATTTAACGCTCCAATACATGTCCAAATTACGTCAGTGCAATGGTGTATCTTATTTACACATATATAAAAAGGACTTGATTTTCAACAATTGATGATTACCTTCCTACCAAAGTATGGACACGCTGTAAGCCTATACATGCACAAACTGTGAAATATGTAAATCTGTATCGGATGTAAGCTGCAGGTATATAGTCGTACAGGTAAACAATATGTTATGATATATATGCACTAGACTAAGTTTATTCCAAACGAATATGATTATGAATGCGTATACCTAGATACATATATAGTTGCGTGACATTCAATTCATATGGACCGTGAAAACAAAACATAGCCATGAAAATGTTAGTGTGGTTATTTATATCCGGTCAGCTATATTATTACAAATAAATATGTTTATAGGTATACGTATTTACATATTCATAATACCCATATTTATAACCAACTGTTTATAATAAATTCGTTTTATATAAAAAAATATTAAAAACATTAATTTTGTATTTTTACTTTTTTATTAAGTTTAAGCTTTATTTTGAATATTGGTATAAGATAAACAATCAAATAATTAATTACTGAACATTGTAGTAATATCTATAAGTACGATTATGTTAGGGATTATTATTAAATTATAAAATAATCAAGAATACATACAACTATATTGATCAAATATAGTTCAAATTTATGAAACAACTTGCAACTTGAATAATTGCAATGCTTTATTAAATTATTTCAACGTAAAAAATTGAAGTTATTCATTTTTCTCTGTTCTACAATAATTGTATGCTAAACTTAATTAAATTAAATTTTGTAAAATATTTTTGCTTTTTTTAAAACTGTTAAACAAGAACATTATAATTATAATTAAAAACCTAAATTAAAATGTATTATGGAGCTATTTTAAATTAAATAACGTTACCAGTGAAATATGTAAATAAATATGATAATATAATGTTCTAAGCTTTTGTAAAAAAATTATATTTTGAGAAAGTGAATTTTAAATAAAGGATCAAGAGTTCAAAACTACACATAAATTGCCAAAAATGAATTCTAAATATTACTTTAACCTAAATCCTAATTACTTAACCTTCCGGAACAACTTAACATTATTACATTTATGACTATATAAAACAATTATTTTATTATAATAACAATTTTAATTTATAAACTTTAACAATTAAAGGAAAGTATATTTTATGGTTTTATTAGTATCGATTGTTTTAATGATTGATTGGCTTTTGTAAAAATTTTAAAATCTACACTGCTATGAGAGATAACGGATATTTTCATATTTTAATAACCAGTTTCAAAACTTAAGGTTTATTTAAAAAAAAGTAAAAACTAATTATGTAGTATAAAAATGCCAATTTATTTTTATTTTTTAATTATTCTCTTTATTAGAACTCATTACGAAAATCGATTATTTTATGGTGCGATTAATCATTTAATCAGGATTAATCAGGTGACAGAAAATTTAAATAAAAATAAAAACCTACAAGTAGAATCGTTCAAATACATTATATATTTTAAGTAGAGGCTTAGGAGTCACCCAAACTCACACCCATTATTATCTTCTATATTAGTAATTAGTGATAACAATTTTTTTTCACTTGTGATACTTGTATATGAATATAATATAGGTACGTATTAAATATTTTTGACTTCTATGCAACTATTTTCAAAAGTGGTTCATAAATATACTTACATACACATTACATATGACTGTACATTACACGTTTTACAAATCTACTTTAGTAGGAAACGAATTATTATTATTACCTTGATTCTATTCCCACCATCTCTTGCAATCAACAATATAATATCTGTTCGTGTGTATATATAATATGAATGTATATGTATTTATATACATACATATATGCTTACAAATTATGTAACAATGGGAAAAAATACTCACTATATACTACCTGTAATGAGACCACCATGCCGCGTATTGGCCAACTGGCAACTATACACAACTATTTAACACACATATTATTCTTTAAGCACCGACATCTCAGCGTGGCAAAGAAATGCTGCAAATTACCGTAACATTAATTGTAATATAATAATTATTTACAAAGCAATTGTAAACTTTAATACTTATTACAGTATATTGTCATTTAATATTAAATTTTTTTAATTAAATTGAATCTTTGAAAAAATATCGACTCCAAATAAGTAAATTAAAAAACATCAACCAATGCTTTAATTTTGGCATAAATTAATTTGCTTAAGCGATTATTTTAAACGTTATAAATTCATTATAAATTTAGTATGAAATATTTACTTTATCCGTAATATAATCTTAGCTTAACAACAAAAAAAATTGTACACCGTATCGAATACCGGTTAATCTAAATACTCATCTTGAACATCTATAAAGTATATATTATTATTGCTGGTACATAAATAAATCGATGTATTGTTTCTATTATGAAAACTGTATTGTAAAATTCTACAAATAAATAAATATTAAAAAATTATAGTTATATACCTATTATAATTTTCAGTTTTTAAACCATTGATTTTTATACAAGTACTGATTTTTATGTAGTCAATAATTTTAGTTTTTCACAATAGACATTTATTTTTTTTATTTAAAAATTGGAAAACAAACATTTTTCATTCGTAGGAATGAGAAAAGGACCTATTTTATAACTTATTTTTTCTAATCTAAACCTAATATTTTTTTGTTACCAAATTAACGCCATTGTGTATTAATTTCTTTTTGAAAGAAACGTTTCATACACTGTATGTATTTTGTGTCCCAGACCACAACGTCAGCTAGCAATGCAGTAGGCGTCCATGTTGGTGCTGGTAGTGACCTTAATTGGTATTGTGGAGTGGTTCCCTAAACGCCTCTTTAAATTTAAAAACAATTTAGATGGCAGATAAATATTTCGTTGTATAAACACACGTAAAAAAGTTACCAAGTGAATATATATTGAACCAACATTTATTAACTATTAATTGAAACACACGGCAATAAATATTAATATAATCTATACGATGAACCTGTTTACCCTACATTTCCGTCTGATGTACATTGCATATTTTACTGTCATATTGGTGACGCTGCGTACCTATGCTTTTCAATTATTGCAAAAATCAACTATTCGATTTATATTTTGACATCAATGAAAACGTTTATATGTGAATAAATAATTTACATATTATAGAAATTAGTAGATAAGTATTATTTATTTGAGAAAACTATATGTAGATTGATTGTTAATAGACAAGGAAGTGCATAGAAAATTTTTTTAGGAGGTTTAATATTTTTATTACTACGTATTTCAAGTGTATTTACTTCACAAGATAATAATCATGGTAATATTTAATTTTATAGTACAAGATAGATCGGCAATGGATTATTAAAATAACCCTGACAAATGTTGATTATATTAAATTATATAAAGCAATACTTTTTCTAAATTTGTTGAAATTTCGAGAGAGTTTGAACAGTGTTGAATGTTTTATGAACAAATAAATGTTCAAGGAACACTCAAATTTAATACAATTTATTTAACACCGAGTTTATAGATAATCATAACAGCAGTCAAATTTATAAATGTGCATATTGTATACTTAGGTATTGAAACACATTATTGAAATGAATGTTAAATGGTGCCTACCTACGTCATTCTAGTACAGTATAAATCTTTGTCCATCGCCCAATTTTAACGCCCGGGAAAAATATTAAAAATACGTCCCATCATACACCAATAATCAAATAGGTACTCTTCTAGAGAATTTTTTCTGATAATTAATATACAATCAAATTTTATCCTAATATATCAGTATTTAATAAAGTAAATATCAAATTAGTAGTAGATAATTACAAAAATTACACCCTCTAAAATTTCACGCCTGTCTTCCACCCCTATGTATACGTCTATATGACTTTAGTTTTTATTTAAAATATCTAATCTAGTCAATAGGAACACAATATAGTTAAGGAGATACATGTTGGATTAACTATACAATTTAGGATATTCAGTGCTAATAAAAAACATATTAAGATTATCAAGATATCTTAAAACATTATTAAATTATGATTTTAATCAATATTTAATAGTTAATCGAATTTTACTAATAATATTGTTATAATAAATGCATTTTAGTACTTCAACAACTGAATAAAAATGATTTAGACTTTAAATACAGCAAAAAAATCTTATGGTAATCAACTTTCAAATTTCGGCTTATATAATGTATTTCACCACAAGGGCATACCCAAGGGGGCGGTTTTCGAGTCCGGATCCCCCCCCCCAATTGAAATTTCTACATACTCAACGATTTAATAGTAAATAGTATAATAATAATATATAGTGTATTTTAATAAATTGATAGTTAAGTCGGATCTAAAGTTAACGTATTACCTACATAAAATATCAACGTTTAATAAGTTTTTTGTACTTACCTAACAATATAAGCAAGTATTTGATTTTAGTGTTAATAATATTCTAGTCGCTAGAAGTCTCATAATTAGAATGCGTATGTTAGGCCATTTCAAATAAAGGAATATATATATATATATATATATATATGTATGTATACAGTATAAACTTATAACAAATTCATTATTTGTCTTATACAAAAAAAATAATAATAATGTATGATTTTATTCTAAATACTAATTTATTTGATCAAATATAAGTATAATTATATATCTGTACGCAGTGGCGTCATTTGAGTTTTTGATAGGGGAGAACAACATTTTTGAAATGTTATACGGCCCATACTACCGGAAGAAATATAGTTTCGCTCACACGTTTTAACTTATACTTAAGGTACATATTCTATTTATTATATTATTATACAACTTAAATTTTTGCAAAATATAATTTTGTATTTTATAAATATTACTTAAACAAAGTTAACTTAATCTAACTTAATCCTAAATTAATCTAAGCTATAATATATCTTCTATTTTTCATTTTTTAAAATACGTCTACTGCATCATCTAAACTGATTTTTGCAGCAATATCACTTTCATATACAGCTATAACCAACAAATTTCTCAGCCGATAATTTCCCATTGTTAAGTGAAGATAGGTTTTGATTAATTTAAGGGGAGAAAAAAACGTTTATTGGAAGCAGAAGTTACATGCGAAGTTAAAAGAATATTTATAAATTTAAGAGTTTCAGTAAAAGCTTTAGGAAGTTAATTTAAAATTTTAGAAATAGAAAAAAGATCATGAATTCCATCGTCTCGTTCTTTATTAGTTTTTTGCAGATAAGAATTCAGTTTGAAATATTAAATTATCAATTTTAAAATGACTATAATGATAAGGAAAGACAATAAATAGGGACTTTTGAAATTAATTTCAAAAATTCTCATGTGTATATTTATAGTTTATACCAATTGGCAATTACTAAATATTATAGCAATAAATAATTATCTAGTACGCGATATTTTAAAAATATTCTTGATTTTTCACAAATAGCGGCTTATGGCTAAACGACAATGTCAAGCCCTTTGGGATGCTTTTTAATTAGACAGGGACAAATGCCCACCTTGTCCCCCCCTCAAATGATGCCACTATGAAGCCCATGATAATAGCTATTACTAAGTACGAACATTAATAAAGCAGACCGAAGACACTTCGGTCAAGACATTTCCTGTCTTGACGGCGGAGCACTAACAGTGTGAATCAATCAGTTCTACTTTACCAGTCCAATAAAAAGGCGAAACGGGAGATCGATCATGCTGGAAATAAAGGCGATTCGAATTCTTATAGTAGACCGTTTATTTTACGGTTAAAGATGACGAATAAAATTAATAGTTATAAGTGCTAAATACATCTAACCTAAATCCGATTAAATCATTTGATTCACTTTTCATATTACTCATTAAGGTACAATATTTTATTGATGTACATAAATTTATCTTCACACAAGGAATATTTTTTTTACCTCTTTCGTGAGCAATGAGTATAACTCTTGGTCCTAGAATTTTGAGATTAGTTTCTTTAGAACATGTGCTATTAATAGAGCCAAACATTTGAATATATTTAAATCCTTATGTTCCGCGATAAAGTTTACTTATGAGATGAACTAAATACAATGTTATTTTCCAGAGCAATATCACACATTCTAAATTTTTTATATGATTTACCAGTAAAAATTAACACTTCCATATAAACATAATAAACAATTCATCAACCTACATAACCAGACACTACACTGCACTCACTCAAGTTAAAGTATTTCAGAGGTAATAATTTAATTTCAAAAAATATTTATTATGGAATGGGAATTAAAAAAAAACACAGTTTTTAAAGTTGGGTATGCATTTTATTTGTATTTTGTGCTTTTTCTTTTTTTTCTTTCTTCTTGATTTTATCATTCAAGTTTTTTGTATGAATTATTTCAAATGTTTTTAATTTTAATGCATAAAAATGCACAAATATTTTCTTTGGTTTAATTTTTTTTTTTTTGAGTATTTTTTTAAAAATAAAATTTTTATGTATTAGATTCAATATCACATAATCTGTTACACATTTTGAAATTTTTTTAAATAATTATAAATAAATCTACATATATATATATATATATATATATATGTGTAGGACAATATTTACATTTAAAACACAATAATTGTTTCAAATTTAGAAAAATAGCAAGTAAAATAATTTAAAAATTAGCTAGATATAATAAAACTTATAACTAGATACATACGAACTTCTCAAACCTTAAGATCTAAGAAAATAGATATATTATAATCTAAAATAGTACATTAAATATTAATTTGAAACTGACAATGTATCTAGATATTAGGTAAAATAACAAAAATGTATAATTTGACAGTTCATATTAAGTTTATCATTGAGATAGTACATAATTTTTTTTTATTTTCAATTAGTTATTACAGACTATGATCATTAATATTAAATACACTCGTCAATCTTCAATCAAAAAATAAAATAAAAATGTAAGGTAATACATTTACAGTAGCCAAGTAAAGCTCTGAAATCCATAATAGATGTATATACAAAAGATATCAATTTTTTTATAAAGCTGTCTTTTGTTAAAACTTGATTTTTTTTATTTATTTATGATAGTTTATTCCCACCGATATACACTGGCGATGGACTTATTGTGGTCGTCAGTATGGATAATACATTGCTCTTCTTGAATAGCCACCTCTACAAATACATTATATATATATTAAAAAAAAAAAAAAAGTCTTAGTTTTTACAATACATACCTTGGTCTACGTGAGGGCCTGTATCCACCATAAAATGAAGATGGTGTACCACCACGTGACATTGGACGACCTCGGAACATGGCTCGACCCCTAGTAGCTACAGGCCGATTAGTAGTACTAATGCCAGGTTTGTTAGTTCTTTTTAGATTCACCTATAAAAAGAAAAAACAATTATATAATATTATTCATATTTATTTTATGTAATTAGTTTTTAATTTACTTTGATTTGACGTCCTCTAAATAAAGAATCATCCATTGCCATGGCTGTATTAACAGAATCCACATCAGCAAATTCAATATAGGCAAAACCTTTTGGATGACCATCAAATTTGTTACATAGTATAGTAACCCGATTAATAGAACCACAGCCATGAAAATGAGCCTCTAATTCTTCTGCTGTTGCAGCATAGTCTACCTGAAAAATAAATTTAAATAATAAGAAACTTTTTCTTACATATGCCTTAATTTATGATATATTTACGTTTCCAACATAGACAGATCTAGCATCAGCTTCAGCCTTTTCTTGTTCAGATAAATTATATGTCGCACCTAAAAGGCAGTATTAAACTAATTACTATTTAAATTAAATATTTATGATCAAAATTAATTTATTTTCCAAAATATTTAAGGTTATAAATTAAGAATACATATAATTTTAATAATTAAAATTAAATAAATAAATTAAATCGGTAATTTTAAAGAATATTTTACATTTTTTTTATAATATTCAAGTAGAACTATTAAATAAAATACAATTAATAACTTTTTCAGAATTTAATTTATTATGTGTTAAGTAGATTTAGTAAGTGATTGCTATGTCATAATTTATATCACATGTGGATATCTACTATGTTAATATTCCTCATAGTTATAAAATAAAATAGCCACATTGGTATTTTAAAGAGCTTATGAGGTTAAGTTTTGTTATTTTTTTTCCTATGTATAAAATATGTTATTAATTATAATATTTTTTTTATTTTATATTTTCAAATTGATACAAATGAAATAATAGGTTTTCATTTATTTTCATTGATATATTTGTTTAACTTCTGATGTAATGTAGATTTAGTAAGTAATTGCTTAAAAATGATTATTTGCAATACATGTGGAGATCTACATGATTTAATTTTCCTCAATAATTTTAATAAAATAGCCAGCAAACTATTTTAAAGAGCTTACGAGGTTAAATATATTTATTTTTTTTAACCAAATACACGGAATAAATAACTCCTCTAATAATGTACAGGTGAATATTTATTTCAGTAGTAGTTTTTACCTCTACTCAATATATAGTAATTCTTAGTATTTTTGATTTGTTCTCATTTAAAATACTGAAGTAACATTTTTACTGTAAGATTAAGTTTTAAGAAACTATGGTTTTATAATTATAAGTAAAAAAGACATAAGTTAAAATCAAGGAAAAACAGAAAAAGACAGAATGAGAGGAAAAAGCAATATTCCATTTTTTTCTAATTTCCAACTTATAATACAAACATCTTACAATGCCACAGTACAATTTATGATGACTAAATTAAATTTATTTAAAGGATTAATTTTTATTTTATTTAATTTTCAATAAAAAACTTTTTTTTTTAATGTGTGGTAGATTTAGTAAGTGATTGCTAAAAAGTATTATATGCAACACATGTGGAGATCTACATAATTTTATATTCCTCTACAAATTGTAATAAAATAGCTACCAAACTACTTTAAAGAGCTCAAGAGGTTCAACAATGCAATAATACTTTTACTTCATTTTATTAAGAATGAAGAAATTAACATTTTAATTTTGTATATACATTATTTTAAGTTATACATACATATATTGATATAATTACAAAAAGTTGACAAATAATAGCATTTTTTATTTAAAAGAGATATAATTATAACACCAACTGAGCTATTTTATCATAACTCTTATTTGAAGTCATGATTAACCAAGCCAGTTAGGAGAAAGGGACAAAGACAATTTTTTCTCTATGTGGTTCTCCCATTTGGAATGCAAAACTACAGTACAAGATGTTTTGAGATAGCTCATACCACTTAACCACGATGCCCCAGACTATTTTATACATGTAAAGTAACTTTTATAAACACACAAAAAAAAAAAAAAAAAAAAAATTAAATTTCATTATTAAAATAAAAATTGTAGATTATCAGATGGTTTACTTTGATTCATATTACATCATAGGATCAAGATCATTTACTCATCATAGGTATTTTGCATTTATAAAAATTAAACAATAACAAAAAGCTGTAAACACAAGACATGAAAACATTTGCAATATCAGCCCATTGATTTTCATAAGAAGTGCTCATTAGCTACATACTTATTTAGACAAAATATATTGGTGCAATTCAATCACTAAAATAATCAACTTAAATTAATTTTAATATATATAAAATCTTTGTAAAAGTGAATATTGAAAAAGAAAGCATCCAGACTTATCATACTACCATAAAAGATACAAGTGTTCAGTATTAAACTTTTAATTACTTTCAGATATAATAATATTAATAATCACAAATGTAATGATCATACGAACGAGACTATTATTCATCATTAAGGATTGAAGTTACCAATAATATTAATAATCATCAGATAATTGGTTTATCTAGTTAATCATGGATCAGAAAAGTTGAATTTTAAGGGATCCTAACAGTCTTTTTTTAACAAGTTTCCTCTTTTGGGTGTGATGCATGTAACAATAATCTCATATATATATATGTAAATTAGAATGCTAATAAAAAGTAAATAAAAAACACTTAGATTTACATTTTATATATACGCTTGGAATGTTCAACCAACTATAATATGTGATTATTATTATATCACTAAAATAAGCATAATTCAAAATAATTAAATGTAATTAATTTTTACTTATAATAATCTAAAACATACATGCAATTTATATATGTACGTAGTAAGATCAAAAAGTTCCCGAAATTTATTCATAGAAGAAAAAATTGTTTTATTTATCACAAATATGATTATTGGATTAAGGTACACTTAATTTACTATCTATAGACATAATCGTTAATATTACAATAGTTTCATGTTAACCGTTATCAAGTCTTTACAAAACATAGTTAACGCAATTTGAACAACAGGTTAACATTAAATTTGGTTTTAAACTTGAAAAAACTGCTGCAGAATAGCTAATTTACTGGTAGTTTGTTCCAAATGATAAATAGTTAACTCTAATTTTTATATTGAAGTTTTAAAATGTTTAAAAAGTTTGATCCGTCAAAAGAGACCAGAGAAATGAGAAAATGGGCGATTTTTACACCTTGAAAATGTACCACATCACACATCTTTTGCACTATGTGACTTCTGGCCATTTCCTAACCTAAAACTTGGACTCAAAAGTGAACATTTTTTGATGATTGAAGTCATTAAGCTAATTAAATTAATTAATTAAAGCTAATGTGATGACTAATCTCGGGGTCATATCAATAGTGATATTGAATAATATCAAAGATGTTTCCAGCAGTTGCAAATTTGTTGAAATGTGTCTGTTCTCAAAGTCAATATTTTGAAGGAGTAAATTTAAGTTAAAATTGTATTTATAAAAAAATTAAAAAAAATTCCAGGAACCTTATGATCCTACTATGTATGTTTCTTTTTTTGTTATATACCACCATGAAAATAAAATTATAATAGGAATACATTTAAATAAAATGATAATACCAATTCATTTTAGTATTTAACATACTTGTTTTAGAAGAATTTGCAGAAGAAAGCACAGGAGTATTAGACATTTCTTGATCTACTTGAGACTGTAATTTTTTTAACTTTTCAGCTTCTTCCTCCATTTCACGTACACGAGCTCTAATAACTTCTAGGTCCTAAGTGCATAGTAATACAAGAGTTAAAATTATACATATATCACTTACAAAATGGTTTTTCATCCAAATACATCAAAAAATATTCTTAAATTTAATCTTAAAATGTTGGTTTTGTTTAAGAAACTTAGAAATAATGAAAATGAGTAGCATGCATTTTTCTCTTGAATAACTCTTATCACATAATTCATAAAAATAAACTTACAGAATCTGCTGATGTTTGAGAATCAGCATTATTTGATTGACCATTTTCAATTAAATCAAATGAAATGCTATTTTCATTATTGATTTGTGTGGTATGTTCTTCAGATGATAAATCAATACCACCTTCTAATAATTGGTCATCTAAATCAGCCATTGTTGTAAAACCTTAAAATACAATATGAAAATGATAGATATTTATTTAAAATATCAGATAATATTAAATAAATTAGTGATTAATAATTAAATAGAAGATAATAGCCAAATTAAATTAAAATGTTACAACATTAAATATAACAAATAATCTTAAATTTACAATGGAATAAAACATATGAATACTTAAGTACAAAACTATCTATAACTTAAATTCATGGGAGGAAATAAGAAGCAAGGAATAACATTAATTCATAAAATAAAAAATAGGGCATAAATTAAATAATAAATATTGCCGATGCCTAACTGTTGAAATGATTACACTGAAATATTATAAATAGCAAAATAGCTAAAACATTTAGAAAAATTCACATGTACCAATGATTCTCTCACTTACAAAATATGACAAATGATTACAAAAACCGTATTTTTAACTCAGCAATAAAAGAGGTAGGAAAGATTAGGCCTTAAAGAAACAAAAAAAATTGGGAAGTAAAAAACTTTAATCATCAAATGGTGACTAGAGGGAAAGAAAATGATTTTCAAAAATATATGTCACCGAAATACTATTATAACACCTCGAAATTGACATACTAACGACTACAACAACGGGATTGCCGTACGAGATGACCGGTCGGATCAAGTGGTTCAAGTCTGGAAAGCCGAAGTAACAGCGGACACCGTTCGAATGTGTCGCACGGTCCACGAGCTACGAGTGCAAACGGCGATCGTTTATTATTATTCCGATGATGGTAGCAAATGTAAAAACGGCCGGATAGGTAACACGGGCGGACCGTGATAACGGGTGTGAATCAACCAGCCGGCCCATTCGGTTGTATTGAGTACTTACGCAACGTCCGGTATGATGGAAACGGATGAAAATTCGGCAGAAGTCCAGGTGAAACGGTTGTGCACAATCAGAACGGTTAACAGCGGTGGCGGCGTGTAAACAAAAAATGTTAAAAATATTATCAATCGTTGGAGAGGATGAGAAAACAGTTGTGTATACTTAGGAGAACGCTACACATACATGTACCGATGGACGTATTTATCACAACAAACAACTATCAGTTTCCATACACAGGTTGTCCAACATTCACTTAAAAGAGACATGCATTATTGGCGTACGAGCACAGAATAGATTATGTCCATTGACCTATGCATATGCGGCCATTATCCATGCTATAACAATGACCTGCAAAATCGATCCGGAATTAATAGACTATATGTCAAAGTTTTAGACATTTTTTTTAAAAATGTTCCAATGTTTTTTGATAATAATTTGTAGTCCATTTTTTGGTACATTAATGATGCCGATATTAGTTCTTTGAAACGGTGTCCTATGTTGGAGGAATTAATCGGCATCATTAATAATAACTCTTTATATGATATTGAAAATAATTTCAATACCATAATAAATAAATATTATGAAGAAAAAATTAAAAAAAAAAAATTCCAAAAAAAAATAAAATGGAATTAAAAAAATTAAGCATAGCAACTTTAAAGAGTTCTTCAATGAATGCTTCAACAGAAGTAATAAAAATTATGTGCCTAAGAAATATTTTATTTTTTACAAAAAATAAAATAATTATTACAATAACACTTTTTTTAAAAAAAAGTAATTATGATAATAATCAATTTATGTTTATTTTAAGTTCGACTGATGATAAATATTATAATAATAAAATATATTTTAATTATGATGAGAGATTCCAATTACTAACATCTCCATTTAAAAACAATTGTATACCGGAGTGATTTATATTCAAACTTCTCAATATAAATAATTTGTCTGCAATTAAAATACATGAAATGTTTATCCAGATGGTTGGTTGTTTGTCTCAATATAAATGAGAAATAAAATAAATAAAATAATTTGAAATAAATTTGTTTGACAAAAAAACCAAGTTTTTTTTACTTTAATCAGCTAGAATTAAATACGAAATTAAAATATTACATTATTAATTATTAATATAATATCTATATAATTATTAATTAAAATATAACATTCATTTTTTGCATTCTTATAATCGAAATATACACTAATATTCATTTTATTCAATATATGCAATGATATGCATTATATCCAAAATATGCAAAAACATGCAAAATAAAAACACTACTATTTTTTTTTTCTTTTTATCATAGCTTTAAGTAATAATTAATATAGTTCAACAGTTATATAATAGAAGTGTACAAATTAAAATAATTAGAGCACATAAATATTATATAATGAAGCCAGCATCCAAAATAAATTTAATAATATATTTAATAGTGAAGATACATTAAGTATTTAGAATTTAATGTATTATTATGCATTTAGTAGGTATTGAGAATGGAGTAGAGATTAATGGGACAGTTGAAAAATCTAAGAGAATTAATTAAGACTAGAAGTTCGGATTTCAAAGCAGGGCAATCAAATAATATATGAGCTAGATAACAAATACACTCATTAAGATGAAATGTATAAAAAGGAGAGTTGTTTAAACCAAGTTTGAACGAGTGACTACTCGTAGGTAATAGAGAGTGTCCTATGCCTAATCTGTTAAATTGTATATGTGATCTATGCAGATCTAATATGCTGAACTAAATATTATTAAGGGTTTTGGGTGTAATATCCCTAAATTTTGAGGCAAAATTTGCAAGTAAGTTATACTAATATAAGGACCATAGATTCGATATGTAACGTTTTATAAAAGGAGTGAATTCAGAGTGAGGTAGTTGAATAAGAGATGGGACGATAATGTTAGACGTGGATCTAGCAAGAATGTCGGTAATCTCGTTGCCATGAATGCCAGTATGACCAGGGATCCATATGAAGTGTATTATGTAGTTTAAAAGATTATGATTGAAAATAAGTGATTTTATACGAAGAAAAAGTGGGGATATTTGAGATTATAAAGGGTTGGAATTTAAAGCTTGAAGGCATGACATACAGTCGGAAGCTATTAAATATTTGTTTGGGAAAAATTTAAAATGAGTGTTAAGGCTTCGATAATAGCGTAGCACTCAGCTGTAAAAGAGAAAGAAGAAGAGGGGAGATTATTTGTAAGGGATACATGTAACTCTGGAATATAAAATGTATAACCAGCAGAAAGAGGAGAGATAGAGCCATCGATACAAACAACAATAAAATTGGGGAAGTTAACAATAAAGTGGTTCGAAAAAGCTGCATTTACCATGAAGTGAGACATTTTTTTAAGATCTTTGGAGGTCAAATCAGAAAAAAGATTTTCCATATGAACAGAAGGTGAATAAAGAAGAGAATCGTAAAATTACTCTCGTAAAGTGATGGTCTGTCTGTACTTGTAATGGTAGAAAACTAATAATACATTACCAATATCGGATAAGACTGGCATAGATTTAGGGACGTAGCGCCAATTGAGATATAGTGAATAAAAAGTGTCAAAAATATGATGATTGCTGTGTGATAAAGATTTCAAGAGAAATTTTCCAGCAAGCCACCTGCACCCGAAAGGTGAGCATAGAGCCTTTATCTCAATAGCGGGACAAGGAGTGGACCTAACGTATCCCATAATAGTCCTAAGACAAGTGGTTTGGTGTTTATTAATTTTTTCCCAAATAGAGTGGGAAACTGTATCAAAAAGGAAGCAACCGTAGTCGAGTTTGGAGCGTATGATTGAAAGGTAAATAGATAAAAAACTAGAAGGATGCGATTTCCACTAAGTACCAGTAACAGTTCTGAGGAAATTAAACCACCGAGAAACGAGCACTGTAAGCAAATAGGAGTCTAGGGTGATCTCTAAATAAGTGACATTTGGAACGGTTGGTATGATTTTGTTGTCGAGAAGTATATTAGGATGGTTTAAGTATCTACGCCAAATAACTGATTTAGATTTTTCAGGAGCAACTTCAAAAGAAACTCTGATAAGAATATCGCTTAGATCTTTGAGAGAAAGGTTCAGATTTTCGATAGCGAAATTAAGATGCTTGTTTGAAGTAAAAATAACCAAATCATCAGCATAAATTAAACATTGATTACCGAGCAATGAAAGATGCTTTTCTACGATACTCATATATACGTTGAATAATATAGGACGGAGACAACTATTCTGAGGAAGACCGGAGTAGGTAGAGTGGGTGTTAGTTGCACCGAAAGGTGAAGAAAAAAATAGGTTTCTATGCTTGAAGAGACATTATAGAATGTTGCAAAATAAGGTGGGAACTTGTAAGGAACGAAGATGAGAAATAAATGTTGAAATGTTGACAGAATCGAATGTTAACAAAAGTGGCGACAAATAATTCTTTGTTGTTGAATGAGTGATAAATTTTCCCAGTAAAAGTTGCAAGGCATTCCAAAGTACCCATACCTTTTTTAAATACAAATAAATTAGCTGGAAGGATGGAGTTCGATTCCAGCCACCAATCTAGTCTGCATTTTAGCATAAACTCGAAAACTTTGCATATAGATGAAGAGAGTGCTTTAGGATAAAACGAAGTGTTACTGTTAGGTTTAGGAATGGGGATAACACGATATGATAACCAAGTGGATAGAACCTGTTGAGTTGCTAAAATATTGTTGAGGATGGATAGAAGACAATCAAGATCATTGGACGGTAAATGTTTTAGCATTAATGGGGAGATATTATTTAGACCAGAGGCAGTTGATTTGCATGAGGATATAGCAATGTCAAGTTTGGGCATAGTAAAGTCATGTGTGAGGACATGGGGTGGAGAATGTTGAGAATAATAGTTTGAGCAGATTTCTGAAGCTGATGGAACATGACAGGGAACAACTTTGAAGCAAAATTTATCGAACCAATCGTCGTTTTCAAAGTGTTTACGAAGATCAATACAATTTTTGTAGCTCTTGGCAGTGGTCTAGAGGTGTTTTAATGTATGAGAAGGATTGAGATTCGAACAAAAATCTTTCCAGTTTTTCCTCTTTTCACCTTTAAGTAAACGGGTGATGAGGGCACATGCATTACAATATTTAAGGAAGTCAGATATGGACCCTGAACGTCGGAAATTTCTAAAAAGAAGTGTTTTATTTTTTACTGCTTCGGTACAAGAAGAATTTCACCATGGGGAGGTAGGGAGGATATGAATTGGTATTAAGTCTTTTCCTAGGGATCGTGGATTCAGCAGAATTATTAATGATACTGGTGAGAGTAGAATAAGGAAGAATTGAAGAATTGTAATTGGTCAAAGAAGCTGTTGAATTCTGGACTTGGCGGTAAAAAGATGATCAATTTGCTTTATTGAAGTTGAAAGAACTATGATTATTTACAGCAGTATCAGGATCAATACTGCGACTAGTGAAGTGGGTTGAACGATTTTGGCAGTTACTATAATGGAGATATGGTCGCTGCCGTGAGGCTCACTTAAAGTTTGCCATGATAGGTACCAGGAGATATCAGGGGAGCAGAAAGATTAGACAATAGCCGAATCAGTTGAGTAAGGTCGTCCGACATGAGTAGCACTACCATCATTCAAAATTCAAAGGTTCAAAGAATTTAACGTATTGTATATCTGGTTACCACGGCGGGAAAATGAATCAGAACCCCAGGCAATATGAAAAGCATTGAAATTGTCGGAGAAAAGAGAATTGTGGGAAGCAGATGTGAATAAATCATTCCACAGGTTAACAGGAATATTGGAGCTACTAGGGAGATAGTAGAACCATACCTTTAAAGAGTGAGATAAATCGGATAAAATGACCTCGACTCCAATGATATCAATTTTTAGAGTAATACATTTATTTCTGGTGACAGTATCGATGAGAATTAGTTTAAATTTTAGGGATTTGTGTATAGCTATGGCTATGGTACCATAACCATCCGAGCGATCGGACCAGTAAATTTTAAATTGTGATATGGAGAAGGAACGTGAGAGTAAGAGCCAAGTTTCGGAAAGTAGTGATAGAACATTTATGATCGATAAGTAGATGTTGTAGAGGTGGAATGCGAACAGGTAGGCTTCTCACATTCCACTTAATTATATTAAAATGATCAATTGGATTAATATTGTTTGTAACAGACGCCATAATAGATTTCTTTTAATACAATTAAAGGCTGATTGTGATAT